TTGTTTTCAGAGAGGAACCAACCATTAAACATCCCCAAAGCTCTTGTTCAAGCAGCATGCAAACAAGGCAACAAAAAAACATGACAAGATGAGTGCTCTGCTGCTCATGCATGGCCACTGGTCTTCGGCCATGCATATGTGCAGGGACTTGTCAGTAAGAGTTTTTCTGCAGGCATGGTCGCATATTAGTCTGTTATTAACTTTGCATTATTGATAAGATACAGTCCTCCCATGAAGACGCACTGAAAGACACAGGATCTCTGTCCTTTATGCCCTGCAAAGAAACCTGTCAAGTTGATACGAGAGACATAGCTGGGTGGGTCTCACTTAGAGTGACATTTGACAGACAATTACTAATAGCTGGTAATTCAAGCAGTTCTGGGTAAAATACTCTCTGCACCAAATAAGTGCTGATTTACCATGGAAATGAGCAAACATCATTTAAGCTCCTTCAGGAAAAGGACACGTAGAGTTACAGAGGACTAATTCTGGTGTGGTAGCTAGGAAGGGCAGCCTGTTACTGGGGGAAACAACTGATGAACATGAACAGAATAGCTGGATTCTCACCTATTCGGTCTAGTTCTTTGCCTCTCAGAAACTGCTATCACGGGCTTCCAGGGAAAAAATGTGAGAATAATTAGAGTAGACAAATGAATGAGAACCTCCATTGCAGGAGAATCTTCTGGGCTCTCAAGCAGCTTTAACAATGAAGCACAACAGCTGGGATCCTTCCAAAAACCCTCCCTGCTCTACTGGGTTATTCAGGCCCTGTCCCATACCCCAGACAGCAAGGGTTGCTTTGGCTGCTCACTTTGGAGGCTATAAGCCAGTGCATAGAAGCCACAATACACCGGGTCTTGGAGGGCATTTAAGCTGTCTGAATTGGATCAAAATGCCCCCATTTGCCTCTTCTCCATAGCCGTTCTAATTGTAGAGAAGAAAAACATGATTATAATAGTAGTGATTATAAACCATCCTTAAAAAGGGCAGGACGTCTTGCTTTTGAGATATTTCAAAGCAGATAGAATAACGGCCAAACTTTGTGACATGGTCACAAACAATCAACCTTGAGTTTTCTTATTCCAGTTATTTCTCAAGTTCTCTTTCATGCTTCATTTAACCTGACTAAAGAATCAGCTGGATTTCCAAAATGCATTCCACGGAAATCCAAATGAAAATGCCCATAGAGATAGTGAGAGAATAGGAAAAAAAGTGAGCTGTGTTGGAAGAAGAATTTATCAGCAAGAAACTGAAAGACTTGGAGTTAGAATGAAGCCTGATCTAATCTGCAGAGGTCCTTTGTCCAGCTGCAACACCCCATTCCATAAAGAAAGCAGGTTCTCATTTTAAAAGCATACAAGATCACTGCACAAGCAATTGATGCCATCCCCTGTGAAAGCCTTTCTGCAGTTAGGGAACAAACAGCATCACACTGATTTCTTCCTTCCCTCTCCCCCCCAGTTTGCTGCAATGGAAATTGTATTTCTCAGCGTGCCTTCTACATCTAAATTATTGTTACCCATTCCATAGGGTACATTGAAGTCACACAACATCTCCCCATTTAAACTCTCTTAGATTGCTCTGGTCTTTGGAAAGCATGGGTAATATCTGCTGCAAACAAAAGGCTTTTATTTCTTATCATTTGCTTTACCTTTTGGTGTATACAGACAGGCAGGTCAGGAGTGGGGACACCCATGGTGTCCTCAGAAGCTGTGCTCCCCAGTCCCCTCCACCATCTATTTAAATGTCTGCATCTGCTTTAAGCTGACAGAACCCAGCTGAGGTAATGACTTTGCCCCCTCCATGTGTGACTTTGTTAGCACTTTACTTTGTAAAGAAAAGAGATGGATTTGCCCAAAGGTTGACTGGAAAGAGGCAGAGGTTAAGATTTAAATATCTGTCACTAGATCATTGAAGTAGGGAGGAAATATATGTATTGATGAATTGTTTGCATTCCTTCTCATTGTGGGCTTTAAGAAATGCTAATTTGTGAGCTTCAAGCCTGTTAATAAGCTGTCAGATCGAGATGAAAAATTACATAAAGTGCAGTAATTGAAAAAAAAAGGAGAAGAAAAGCACAGAAATTAAAGAGAAATCTTTGTCCTAATTTGATTTGTGACTTCATTGTAACAGAATAAAGCATGTGTAGATATTAACAATTCATTTACATAACCAACTGCAATCAAGCTATTCAGACAAATGTGCATTCACATTGGGAAAGGTGGGAGGATTCATTTTAACCTATTAACACCCTTTCTTTCAGATATGTTCTTGTCTACTTTCTTCCATTACCAGATAAAGTTGTTTATTGGTGAAGAAAATAACTTACTAAATGGCAGAGCATTTACTTTTCAAAGCTTCAGGGTTCAATCAAGCCATTAGTCTTGGTCTATATAAGAAACAAAGACAAGCCTTGGAAACCAAAAGAGACACAGTGAAGAAGCAGTATTGTCTGTAACTGCCATTAGAGAGAGGGGAAACTGAGGCACAGAATACAATTCTTCACTTTAATCTTCCTACACTTTAACCCTTGACCTGAAAGCTAAAGTAAATGCTTCTTTTCCTAATTTAGAGGTTCTTGCATGACCTTTCATGGGAATTCTTTGGGAAAGAAAAGGATCTTTTCATCTGAGACCACCTGAGTTGTCTCTGCTCTTCCTCCTTGTGTTCCTCTTATATCCTTTATTCTTGCATCTGTTCTCCAGTGGCAAGGTTTCTAATAAGCCTTGCCACCATTTCAAACACTTCATATCATTTACCACACAAAGCACATATGCATTTTCCTTGCCTGTCACATGCAAAGAAGCAGAGGCAGAGAAATTTAAGTGGCTCATCTGAAGTCAAAGGAAAAAGCCCTGAGGCACAATAAGCCATGAGGACTGGCTGACCCCCAAATCCTCTATTCATCCTCACCATGCCCACAGCACTGTGCTCATTGCTTACTTTGTCCCTGATCATCATGAAATGCATCCGTTCTCCACTGAGTAATAAGGCAAAAGGCAGTCAGACTCCCAGATCCTCCATTTACTGGTATAGGTAAGGCTGTCTTTGTACATTACTCAAGTCTAATTAGAACTGTAAAGGATTTTTATGACTTTGTGTTTTTCCCTTCTCAGAAGTAAATCCAGCCTTAATACCATGGAGAACATCTTCTGAGAAAGCAGAAGAGAAGGGAGAATTAAAGGAAAGCCCAAGTGAAGATATGGAAGAGGATGCCAGGTGCAATCATTGCAGCACATAAAGTGAATTAGTTCCAGAGGCAGCTAACCATTCTGCTGAGGAAAGGCAGGGAGAACACAATGGCAAAGCAGGGAGATCTGAATGGGGATATAAAGCTAACAGAGAGTTCAGCAGCCACATGCTTTCTTCTCATTTAGGTGGGTATGGGATCTAGGTGACCAAACTGATGTGAGGATTATTTGTCCTCGTTTCTGCATAGCAAAGAGCAGATTTTGGCATCATGTTTGTCATGAAATCTTCAATCTATCACAAAAGAGTTGATTTTCTTTCCTCTTTTGCCAGCTGTCGAGTGAATGATGGGTCGACTGAAGGCTTAAGCCACAGAAAATACATTTGCCAAAGCCACACACTTCCTATTCATTTATTCACAGTAATAATGTACTTGGTTTATAGCCCATCCGGTATCACTTTGTTGCTTAGGTGGTCTGTTTCCCACCAAAAACGTGCACTCCTTATGTTTCCTAGTGGCCAGACCAGCCAGTAGGACACTTGTAAGGGAGAACTTGATTTAGGTACAATCCCCATCATATCTTGTTACTGTGATGTATAAAGAAGCAAGCAGTGATACCAGAGAGACTAACAGTAATGACCACTGTCCTTGACACAGTCTTATCAATGTCTTTCCACAAACAATGTAGTAGCTATGGCACATTATTTTGCCATTTGAAGCTCCTTCTGCAGAGGACCAAGGTCTGGATTTACATGCAGGTCTGCCATTCATCATCCTTGAAAATGCCAGGAGACACTTTTGAGGCTGCAGCCAGGGTAATTCTGGGAAACAGGATGAAAACACATCAGGGTGAATTGAGCCAGTGCTGGCCTGGTTCTATCCTTTGGAAAAGCCTCAACCACCAGTGTAATCTTAAGATTGATTAAAAAGAGAAAGTCAGATGCTTCTTCAAGTGTAGGGCTAGGTGTTGAAACCATTAGCAACCATAGAGTGCTCCTGGTTTGCATTTCAGTTTGCTACAGAGCTTGCAATAAGGAGAAGTTACCCAGCCACGTGTACTGGCCAAACTTTAACACGAGTTAGAAGCTAAGTTTTAAAGCTAAGTTTTGTAGCTTTATTTAAGCTTTAGTGCTTTTCCATGAATCAAATGTGAACGTGGTCTTGGACAGCACATAGACCAGAGATGGGGCAATGTTTTGGCAAGCTGCATAGAGCACGGGATACACCTGCAGGCATGAGGCACCAGGAAGGGGCATCACCCACCTCCCTCCAAGGGGAAACCTCCCTGTATTGGGAAACTGCTTTAGCCAGCAAGGTCAGTGCTGTGGGGTAGAGGAGAAGTCTCAGCCACAGTTCCATGGGACACCTTCAGCTTAACGTTGAACCGGATCCAGAAGTGTAATAGATAAAAGATTAAAGAAACATTAGTCAGTTTGAGCCAAATGAAATACGCTGGTTTCAAAACAGCAAACCAAACTGTTGCAGTTCCCCTTCCATTATTACAAAAACTGAGGTCAACATTTCCACATGGGCATGTCTTGTTCTGCAGAAGCTGCGTTTTACTATTCAAAAAAAACCCCTAAAAGGTAAAGATCCAAACCCAAACCTTTCCAAAAGGAAATGTGAGTAAATTGATAACAATTTAATTAACATGGATTAACCAGTGCAGCTGCACAACACCTTCTGCTAGAAGACATTCAAGTCTATGTGGAAACTGATGTCTTTCTGGATACTTGCGTGCTGGCTGCAGCTCCCCACACATCAGCATCCTCAGCACCCAACCGAATGCTCTTTCCTCACTTGTCTGCTTTCCCATCAGCTCTGTTGGCACACATTCCTCTGTATCCAGGTGGAAAAAGCACAAAGGAAAGCAAACAATGGGGTTGAGTTCATGTCTATTCTTCCTTCAGTTCCCTCATACATCACTGTTTGTTTATTCTCTCTTTATTGCATGTCCTTTTCTCATGACTGAACTCCTGTGATTGAACTGCCTGTACCTATGGAATGCCTGGGGGAAGGAGAGGAAGAGAAAAAGGGAAAGGGGAAGGGAAAAGGAAGGGGAAAAAGAGAAGTGGGAGAGGGAAAGGGGAAAATAGGAAGGGAAAAAGGGGGGGTGGAATGAAGGGAAGAGATAAGGGAAGGGAAAAGAATGGAAGGCAAGGCAAATGGTGAAAAGGGTCCACACTTTGAAAAGGGATGCCCGGCTCTTCAGCAGTAAAGCAAAACCATTAATTTCAGAGAAGTGCAAGCTTTAACCTGTTCTCTGGGAATGCCCCTCTGCATCTTCCTTGCCTGATAGGGCAGGCCCGGGGGGAGAGATGGGCACAGTGCACAGGTAGTTGGCAGGGAGGGCTGCAAGCATTTCACTAACATCCTGCTTAGATCTATAGAGATATTGATATCTGTGGCTGGAGCTGAAAGGCAGCCGCAGCTCACAGCAAGATCATTTCGCCCACCACTGGACAGCAATCATACCTGAGGTAAAACAGGCAGCTGTACATACTGATGGGCTGCCAAAGCAGCAGTGCATGATGCCAGTGAGCACTTTGATTTCCCCAGACAAATACCAAAGACCCCCATGTAGACTATTGTCTCGGCAGAGATCCACTGACTGAGCACTCTCTGAAATGTATTTTCACACTGTCTTTAATACTGCTCAGCAAATGGCTTCATTATGCTTCTCTAGACATCTCTGACAGTGTCTATCCCAAGATCTGGGAGAGCATTTTATGTTTGCCTAAAAATGCACCCTATTTATACCTCTGTCTACTGTAGCAGGCAAAATACTTCTTGCTAGACCCTTTGCCTGGCAATCCCATCTCTCACATACACCTAGGTGCATATATTTTGTCCTCTCAGTTTCCTCATTCACCGAGTCACAGATAATATTGAGCTGGGAATGACAAAAGTCATGCCAGTTAATAAAGGAAAACAAGAATGAAAATGCCACCAGTCTGTGCATCAGCCAAAATGCACCTTTCCCTTAGAGGCTGTGGGCAAGCTTGGCTGTCCTGAAGATGTTTCAGTTTGCCTTCCATAGTGGCAGGGAAGGAATAGCCCATCCACAGACTTAAGGCTCACTCAAGTCCTCATATTTCTGTGGATTCCTCCAGTCAGTTTTCCCCCTTTTGCTAAGCTATTTCCTTAAAGTTTGACAAAGGGGGTGCACATTCCTCTTGCATTATATCAACTGCATCCCAGGGAGACCTTGTGCAGAAGAGGTGTTGCATCCTCTGAGGATCAGGTTAAGGATGTGCCCTAAGTGACAGCTCTTGGGAGCTTCTTGAACCTGGAACAGGTCCAGAATCAGACCTGAAGCAGATTGACATGAAACAAAGACAAAGAATGGGCAAAAAGTGATCTTTCAGATGGCCAAGATTTAGGTGTCAGAGGTGGCTCAGTTGGCACTTTTTGGATCTGAGGCCAATTCACTGGCGCTTTGCAGATGAGTCAGGGCTTGCACAAAACAGAGCATGAATCAAATAGGGAAATCTGTGCCCTTAACAATTCTTGATGAATTAATGCTTTAAGAATATTTCTCAGATTCCCAGCCATTTTCCCCATTATATGTCCAGGTGATACCAATGCTTCCAAACACCATTTGTGCAGTGGCAGTTCCAGAGCCATGTACCTGATGAGTAAATCTGGACTGTGTTTGAGTAAGTCTCTTGGTAATGCAAAGCAGCACCACTCCATTGTGAAGTCTTGTTTGCTCTGCTCATTGCTGCACATTATTCATTGTCCTCCTAATCCATCAACGGAGAGGTGGAGGGAAACAGAGAGGGAGAAGGTGCTTGGGAGAGGGAGGGGACAGATGAAGGGCAGTGTTGGGAATTACAACATGAAGGTGATTCTCACCCTTTATTGTTCAGTGTGTTTGCCATCCACACAGACTATTATTTGGGCCTTAGTTTACTCCCAGATCCAATCACAAGTGACTGGGTGTTGTAATATAGTACAAAGTGTTCATACCTGATAATTCCTGCTTGGCTCATGTATCTGGCTGAGCTGAAAGCATGCCAGCATGCTGAGAGTCATAGTCAAAGTCCCTCCTCTGACCAATGATTTATGCAGGACCAGAGGAATTGTTTGTGACACGGATGTCATCTTAGTGATATCTGCTCTCATCAGCTGCAGACACAGGCAAACTGTGGGCTCTGGATACTCCAGCGTTTTCTTAGCACTGCCAATCTGGATTGAGACAGGGAATATTGCTCTTCTCTGAATTGTACCACAGGCTCCTGTGTATTCAATCAGGTGAAGGCACAGAAATACCCAGATACGAATGTGGAATGGTCCGTATTCCCAGTACATCAAGTGTACACCTGCATGATAAGCAGATTTTTGACTTTTCAGTATGTACCACACAGAGAAAATTGTACAACAACATTACATTGCCCAAAAGGCACAGGTTCACTCTAGAAGATCACCAGTAATATGATCACCGTATGTTTCTGGCTTCCCAAAAGACCTGTGTCTGAAATTCCCTTGCATACTTGAAAGAGTAACAATAATCCGTGCTTATAGGTGTAGTACTTACGTGCACTGGAAAAGCATCAGGATCCCAGGGGCAGATTCATACCTGAGTGCTATAACACCTGAAAATACAAGTGCTGGAAAGAAACAGGGACTCAAGAGGTACAGGTCTATCACCTCTGTTGTGCCAGCTCCTCCACACCCTGCTGTGGGGGGCTAAACACTTTTTGGAGGCTTTGAATAGGATCAAGTTTTATGGCTCATTCCTACACATGCTGTCTCCACAGTTGTCCTGTTTCCTATTTTGCAAGATAAGGTACAGCTTCCATAAAGAAACAAGTGGTATTTCTATACAAATACACACCAAACAACACATGTGCCTATTGGCATTCAAGTCTTTACACCTTGGTGATTAATATGCAGCACAGAAACACACTTCCAGCTACAGGCATTCAGCACAATAGATCTTCATTTTGATCCAGCAAAAGGCAAAGGTTTGAAGGATTTAGAGTCATCCTATTAGGGCTGCATGTAGCTATACATATATGTGGCTACAGATGTGTTTCCAGTCTCTGCAATCATACAAAACATGCAGTCACCTACCTCTTCACTCTGTACAATCTGACATATGAACATAAGATAACCACACACAAACTCCATCCATAAACATGGAACATTCTCCCACATATTTACAGCAGGCACAGGCTTATGTGTCTAATGAAGTTGATGACACATAGGATCCTAATTGCTTTTGTGAAGCCAGGTCCCTGCGGACTCACCGTCTCCATAAGATACCCACATCACACCACCTTTCTCTGTCCCTGACTCTCCTGATCCCCTTCGGGGAAAGCAGGGCTGCATTAAGAGCTCTCAGAGAACAGAGTTCATATTGCCAACCAAATTGAAGGCATAGCTTTGCAAGATGCTTAAAACCTAGCAAATCTGTAGCTAACATAAAGATCTCCAGAGCACTGGTAGAGGGGGAGGAAAAAAACTCCCATCAGATTCATTTGCAGACAGAGACTTCGGGGTAGCCAGCTAGTTATATCATGGATAACCAGCTGCAAATGATCAGCTTCAAGTATTTTCAATCACTGAGTCACAAATAAGCTAAATACTCTCACATGCCTCATCTGAGCAGCTTGGATTGGGGTTTAGGTTGCAGAAGGGGTCTTTCAAACTGAACACACATGCACTGGGTAGAAAAGCTGCTTTAGCTATCAGTTTTATTACGTTTAAAGGAAAGGTGGAGCAAGGAGAAAGGAAGCTTTTTCTGATCACAAAGTCAGTCTGTAAGAGAAAAGGAGAAACAGCAGGTTAGATGAACCCTGGGGCCAAAACAGAGACAACCTGAGCTTCCAGTAGCTGCTCTCTGCCTCATGCAGAAGAAAAGCAGAGATCATGTGGACACCTCAAGTTTCACTGCGCAATTACTACCTTTGGTTACATGCCCTCGTAGGAAGCAGGAACCTTCTCCTGGTGGCAAAATGATCTCAATGCCAAAAATACAGAACCTTCTTCACCCCGGGACTTGGGGGTGCTGGTTGATAAGAAGACGAACATGAGCCAGCAGTGTGCGCTTGAGCCCAGAAAGCCAACTGTATCCTGGGCTGCATCAAAAGGAGCATGACCAGCAGGTCGAAGGAGGTGATCCTGCCCCTCTGCTCTGCTCTTGTGAGACCTCATCTGGAGCATCGTGTGCAGTTCTGTTGTCCTCAATATAAAAAGGACATGGATCTGTTGGAACAAGTCCAGAGGAGGCCAGGGGACTGGAGCACCTCCTGTATGAAGATCGGCTGAGAAAGTTGGGGCTGCTGAGCCTGGAGAAGAAAAGGCTGCGTGGAGACCTCATAGCAGCCTTCCTGTGTCTGAAGGGGGCCTATAGGGATGCTGGGGAGGGACTCTTCATTAGGGACTGTAGTGACAGAACAAGGGGTAATGGGTTAAAACTTAAACAGGGGAAGTTTAGACTGGATATAAGGAGGAAATTCTTTCCTGTTAGGGTGGTGAGGCACTGGAATGGGTTGCCCAGGGAGGTTGTGAATGCTCCATCCCTGGCAGTGTTCAAGGCCAGGTTGGATGAGGCCTTGGGTGACATGGTTTAGTGTGAGGTGTCTCTGCCTATGGCAGGGGGTTAGAACTTGATGATCTTAAGGTCCTTTCCAACCCGAACTATTCTATGATTCTATGATTTATTAAGCATAAATCTCATTTTACCAGTACCATTATTTTGCAGCAGGGAACCCCTCTTTTTCCCCTAAAACCCCTGGTATTACTTTTTGGTGCTCTCATGAATGCTTCTTGCCATGAAAGCACCACTCTACAATATTATTTTAGTAGGGGCTTATTCAAACAGCATGGAGAAATCCTATCCCTCTCTTACTTCATTTCCTAGCTGCGCATTGCTTTGTCCTTGCCCACAGTGGGCACACCTGTGGGCTGCATTTTTCTTTTCCCTTCATTTAGGTTAAGTTTTCATTTTGTTTGACAAGTATCAGATTGGCCGAGGAGCAATTGAGTTCCCAGCTTGGTTCGTAACACTTAACAGTGGTTTATCCTATCACTTGAGGATCAAATGCAATAACTGAGGGGACTGAACAGGTGGGGATGGATTTAATACCAACTACATTAGCTAGCAGTGGGTCCTGGTGGCAAAATGGTCTAAATGCCAAAACTACAGAAACCCAAAGGGTTTTCTGAGCTCCAATGGGGTTTGCTGTACGGTCAACCTTAATCTGTGCCAAAGCGAAAGGCATCAGAGCTTCAAAGTGTTGGTGAATTCCCACAGGGATCAGAAGTAATTTCTTTCCATGCATTGACAATTAGTCTAGTGAAAAATGGCTTGGGGGTAGAGGTCATTTTCCTCTGAATCATCACAGACTGGCCACTGCCAAAGGCAGGAACCAATGCAAAATGCATGGATGATCTCAGGAGATATGGCAAATGCTGTGCTCCCACTTAATGCAAAAACCTAAGCTCTCCTGGTAGCTTCCCCAAGGAATGTGGAGTTTGGCACCATTTCCATAAATATTCCTATTCAATAATTGATGAGCTCAGTAAGTTCCTAGCAAAGGAGCTGCTTCCAGCCATTTCCTTTATTTAAATGGAATTGTTTGTTTAAGATCATAAAATGAAAGCCCAGTGGGAGCCAGAGAGTTTGACCTACCGTGCCCACTGTAAGAGATCCACAGCCCCAGCAGGGATTTCACTGCTCTGCAGAGCTGGCACGATCCAAAAGTTGCTCTTAAGCCCATAACAAAAGCCCTCTCCCTTTTGCTAAAGGAGCCTCCATAGCCTCTTGGCAAATCGTGGCATATAACACGCATGTAAGTGTTCTTGTTATGTTTAATAAGGTCCACACATCATATATGTTCACCTTTCCAGCTATTATATAGCAAGCCTCACTTGCCATGACCCCAAAGAAGCATCTCAGACAAGTGAAGAGATCGGATGCATCATGAAGTCACCTAGGGGACCTGTTGAAGCTTCTTTGTCTCATCCTAAGAATGGTACCTAATTGTGATCCATTGCCAAGTGTCAAAGGCCAGGAAGCAAGGAACTGACATTAGGTACCTTCCCCGTGTGACCCTTGCACTGTAATGAGCACCCAGAAGCCTTGGTGGTTTCATCCCTCAAGTTTTCAGCATCTACAAAGTTAAGGTGAGAGTTGCACAGGAATGATGTTTATCCACAGGCTTTCCACTGCTTCCTGCTGGCATTTCTGTATGGGCTGGAAATAGCATGAAAATACCCATCATCAGAGATATTTCATTCCTGCTTTTGATCTGGATCTAAGAAATACAAAGTCAGATGAATGTAGTGTATACAAGGAAACAAGGAGTTTCCTCTCCTCATTTCAGGGCCTGATTTGGATTCGGTGGGGGTTAGATATGCAGGTCTGCAGCAGTCTTTTACCCACCAACACACTGAGTGTTCTCAGTGGTGCTATATCAGAAGTGTCTGTAGGTCTGCCCTTACAGCCACTGCCTGGTTCTGCAGGGTTGTGGACATCCCATGAAGGTGCACCTATTTACACATATACTCACAGGGACATCCCAGCAGCACTTGGCAGCCCGGTACTCTCCCACTCATCCCTTTCCCAAGCATCTCCCTCACAAAACCTGCATCTATGAAGCCAGGAGGAGTGTTTGCCGTGCAAACCCCATCCTCAAGAGACATGGTCTGGATGCACAGAGACATGTTTCTGGGCTCATTGCCTTTGGGCAGAGAGTGATTCAGGAGGCAGCAGCTTCCCTTAGGAAAGTATAGGCATATCTGACCAGTCCAGGAGGGTGAGATGTGCTGTTTGCTTTGGCCCTGATCCTGCAAACACTGACAGGAGCGTTAACTTTATGCACTGAAAATAGTGCCCCCGCAGCTGTTATAAAGGCATAAGAGTTTATCTTGCTCCTCATCCTTGTTCTGCAAAGCAGCTTGACCCTCCTTGCACTAATGCATCCTGGACTGAACCTCTACATCTCTTCCTAAGCATGTTTGTAACTGAAATAAAGCCTGACTGGGACAGCAGAAGCACATCTGGCTGCGGGATGCTTATAGCACCTGAGGCAAAGCCCTATGTACTGTATGCTTGTGGTTAAACCTGCGCTGTGTGTGCTTGATAGCTGGGTATCAGCTAGGTATATGGCTATGTAATTATACTGCAATTAAATTTAATAGCTCTGCTAACAGCTCAACTGCAGGAGAGTTTGTCTAAGAATTTTTGTACTGGGATTATTAACCTTTTGATGGCTTCACAAATCTATTTACATAGAGGTTTATACAAACGTTTCTGTTGTGATTGTTCTTTTATAAGCCAGCATGGCTCAGTGCAAAACTAATCAAGCAGGGTGGGTGAGTCCTGCTTGATAATGTCCATGAGAGGAAGGTCTTGGTTCCATGAGCAGTGGTTCTGGAAGCAATGGGCTTAGTCCTCCCAAAACACAGCATGGAAGGTCTAGGATTTCCTCAGGCAGCACTGAGATGCGGCAGAGAGAGGCAGGAAAATGCTGCTGAAGTGTAGCATAAAAGCCCAAATTTCAGTCTGGGATCAGTGCTTTCTCATTTAATGGATTGTGGTGAGGCAACTGAGGACTTCTATCTGAAGGTCTAAGTTTTAAGCCATCCTGTGTGCCTGAAAGAGCCACCAGCTGGTCTATGGCAGCAGCAGGAGCAAGAGCAGTAACCCAGGTTTCCATTAGACAAGATGCTCTTCTCTCCGGGTAGTTCATTGCTTCGGTAGGTTCTCCAGGGACACAACAGAATATATCTCATCTTCAAGGCTCAGACTTTCATGTCTGTTTAACATGCAGTGAATTTCCATCCTTTTGCTTGTTCAGTTTACAGGACTCTATCGATCTCTTTATTTTAACCTTTTGTACTGTGTAAGGTCTGAGTTTTGGCATCCTCGTTTCTGTTTATTGAGAGGAATGAATTCTGGTTTGCAGGTTGGAATCTGCTTAAGCCTTTACTGTAATTTACAAAGTCCTATGTCTCCTATCACACCAGGTTTTGGTTTCCTGTTTTGTTTTCAGCTGCATAATGATTTTTAATCAGGCAACAATTAATGATGCAAAGAAGAAGAAGGGACACTGAGGGATTGCTACATCTTCTGT